AAGATTTTTTTTTTTTTTTAAGTTTCCTTTCAGGAGAAAATGTGAACAATAGGCTCAGAGTTTGGGAACGTCAGGTAAGGGAAACAGCAGGATCCCGTGGAGTCGCACAGAGGGGTTGGCACTGGGGGTTGGCAGGAAGCCACTGAGGTGGGCTCCTGAAGTTATGAGGTTTGGAAACCAGTTGAACAGACAGCCCCAGGGGCAAAACCCCTACCACAGGCATGCCCTCCCCTCGCCTGTCTGCCCAAACACCACCCCTCCCCTCCTCCTGCAACAAGCAGAGGCAGGGCCCTGGGTCCTCGGCCAAGGCCGAATAGCAGGGCAGGGCTGCTGGGCAGGGGCAGGTCCCGCTGAGAGGGGCCCCCCCACCATGCCTCTCCTGGGTCTGCCTCCGGGCAGGTGAGGACTGAGGGCAGAGGGCCTGGTGTACCTGAGGCCGCTCCGCTCTCCCCGAATGACAGCAGGACCTGAGTCAGCGCCCCCAGCCCAGCCCCCAGGGCTCCAGTCCAGATGCAGGTGTTGGCCAGGAGGCCAGGATCCAGATCCGCCAGGGCAGGGGCAAGGCAGGAGAGCCTGCTTCCCCTGCGTGGCCGGCCTGGCTCTCCCCGTGCAGACTCAGCGCTGGAGCAGCTGAGGCCCCTTGGCCTTCCCTCAGAGCAGGAATCCCGTTCTTGGACTTCAGTTCTCAAGAGCAGAGGCCTCACCGCCTCACAGGGGCCCCCATACTCTGGCTCTGCAGCCCTGACACAGTGAAAGCCACCATTTATGGCAATTTCTTATGGGCCAGGCACTATGCCACCCCCACACAGTTTACTTCTCAGTGACAACCATGAGGCAGGTGCAGCTAGCACCACCCCCATCCGCATCCTGCAGAAATGGTAACTGAGGAGCGGAGCTGTTGTCTTGCTTCCAATCACGCACACAGACAGGCATTTCTCACCGCTGTCCAATAGCCAGGAAGCCAGGAAGCCAGGAAACCTCGACAGCAACGAGCACACCCAGCAACCGCCTCTTGGTTCCTATACGCCACTCACCAATACAAGGAACCACACAGCCCTAACCTGTTTGGCTCAGTGGATAGAGCATCAGCCTGCGGACTGAAAGGTCCCAGGTTCGATTCCGGTCAAGGGCATGTACCTTGGTTGCAGGCACATCCCCAGTAGGGGGTGTGCAGGAGGCAGCTGATCGGTGTTTCTCTCTCATTGATGTTCCTAACTCTCTATCCCTCCCCTTCCTCTCTGTAAAAAAAAAAATCAATAAAAAATATATTAAATAAAAAATAATTAAAAAAGGAACCACACACTTTAGAGAAAGGGCCTATTCTACCCAGGAAGCAGGGAGACTACAAGATGAGCTTGGAGCATCTTATGGTGCCAGAAAGTAAGGAAATGCTCAAAACAAAAGCAAAGACAAAAGGATGGGAGGATGTCAGACAGACACAGGAGCTCATCTGGAAAAGCTCCCAATGGCTGAAACGGGAACAATGGACACAGCGGAGTAAACTCCTTCGTGTGGAAATATAACCCAAAGGGTAAGACAGATACGTTCCTGGGCCCACACTGCTGGGAATAAATGATTGGTTAAATACATGGGGATGGGGGACAAATCTTTCTTTCAAAAGAATTCCAAATAATATATGTGGATCCATCCTCCAGGAGGTGGGGCCAGCCTCCCACTCACCTCACACACACTTCCCCGGGGGCTCCACTTGCCTGCGAGGAACAAAGCCTGGCAGCCCTCGGCGGTGTGGCTCAGTGGATAGAGCATCAGCCTGCAGACCAAAGGGTCTGGGTTCTATTTGAGTCAAGGGCATGTACCCTGGTTGCAGGCTCCTTCCTGGCCCGGGCCCTGGTCCTGGTTGGGGCTCGTGCAGGAGGCAATCAACCGATGTGTTTCTCTCACATCGGTGTTTCTCTCCGTCTCTCCCTCTCTCTTCCGTTCTCCCTAAAAATCAATGGAAAAATATCCTCGGGTGAGGATTAACAACAACAACAAAAACATGGCAGACACCAGCCTAGCCATGCAATCAAAGTTAACTTCACCAGTAAGAAGTCACATGCCCCCTGAGGTCACGTGACAAGAAAGGCCCTGGGCCTCTGTGGTATTCTTGCCCCAAACCCATAACTCCTGTCTAGTCATGAGGAAAACATCAGACAAACCCAAACAGAGGGACAGCCTAACAAAATACCGACCAGAACGCCTCAAAATTGGCAAGCTCATGAAAAACAAGGAAAGACTGAGACACCGTCACAGACCAGGCGAGACTAAATGCCATGTGGGTTCCTGAATTGGGTCCTGGAACAGAACGAGGACCTTGGTGGAAAAACTGGTGAAACCCGAATACGGTTTGGAGCTCAGTTAATAGCCATGTACCGATGTTGGTTTCTGAGCTCTGACGACTGTTCCATGGCAATGGAAGATGTTGACAGCAGGGAAAACAGGCGGGTGTATGGAACTCTCTGTACAATCTTTGCCGCTTTTCTGTAACTAAAAGCTTTATTTAAAAAACAAAACAAAAACCCACATGGGGTATAAACATCTGAACCAGAATTTGAATTCAGGTGTGCCTGCCTCCTTAGCTCACACCCTCCACCCTCCTGAATAATCTCGTTAGACAGAAACCCCCAAAGGTTTCTTTTTTGAATCGAACCCGGGACCCTTCAGTCCACAGACTGACGCTCTATCCATTGAGCCAAACCGGCTAGGGCCCCAAAGGTTTCTTCATGGGCATGAGCTTCTCCCCATTTGCCCATGTTTGCCCTCGGGGACCACCCAAACTCAGTTCTCTTTGCTCCACCACCTCCTTTTGAGGGCTAAGGGATGCTCCCATCCCCCCAACTGTTCTCTATTCCCTGGCCCCCCCACTCTCTTGGGTGACGTGGGTTCCGATGAATTAGCCTCCTCAGCATTTGCCCTTCCTTTGCAACAGCCAGATTCCTCTTGCAGATCCATTCAATTTCAGGGCTGACAATTCCCCAGTCTGGCTCCAGGGATACAGAGCACCTGACCTAGACTTAGGTCCATCAGCACACACCAGCCCCTGACTTCCATGATCAGCCCAGAGGAAACCATGTAATCCAAGCTCGTCCAATCAGAGAGGTCTTTGAGAAAGGGGGCGGAGGGAGGGGGCAAAGACAATTTTCTTCCATGTTGGTTGTGAATGAAGAAGCCCCTCAGAGCCTGGCCGGTGTGGCTCAGTGGTTGAGCATTGACCTATGAACCTGGAGATCACAGTTCGATTCCCAGTCAAAGTACATGCCCAGGCTGCAGGCTAAATTCTGCAGTGGGGTGTGTGCAGAAGTCAGCCAATCAATTATTCTCTCATCGATGTTTCTATCTCTTTCTCCCTCTCCCTTCCTCTCTGAAATCAATAAAAACCTATTAAAAAGAAGAAGAAGAAGCCCTTGGGTGCCTTAGGATGAAGTTGACACCAAGAACAACAGAATAGAGAAATATAAAGAGTTGCGTTCAGCCGGGACCGGTTTGGCTCAGTGGATAGAGCATCGGCCTGTGAACTGAAAGGTCCCGGGTTCGATTCCAGTCAAGGGCATGTACCTTGGTTGCGGGCACATCCCCATTGCGGGGTGTGCAAGAGGCAGCTGGTCGGTGTTTCTCTCTCATCGACGTTTCTAACTCTTTGTCCCTCTCAATTCCTCTCTGTGTAAAATCAATAAAATATATTTTAAAAATAAATAAATAAATAAATAAAATTAAAAAAAGAGTTGCGTTCTAATGCCCTGACCGGTTTGGCACAGTGGATAAAGTGTCAGCCTACGGACTCAAGGGTCCCAGGTTCGATTCCAGTCAAGGGCATGTACCTTGATTGCAGTCACATCCCAGGTAGGGGGTGTGCAGGAGGCAGCTGATTGATGTTTCTCTCTAATCGACGTTTCTAACTCTCTATCCCTCTCCATTCCTCTCTGTAAAAAATCAATAAAATAAAAAGAGTTTCGTTCTCATAACAATGAGCCACTGGATCGAGCCTTGCCTCAAGTCCACTTTGACTCTACACTTCCCAGTTATGAGAACCATGGTAGATGGAGAAAGGGTCTCCCAAAATATTTCCACATTCTAATGCCTAGAACCTATGAATGTCATCTCATATAACAAAAAAGGAGGAGGAGGAGGAGGAGAGGACGAGGAGGAGGACGAGGAGGAGGAGGAGGAGGAGGAGAAGGGTGTGGTTCATTGTAGAGGGGACTTAAAAATCTAAGATGGGCTGGGACCGGTTTGGCTCAATGGATAGAGCGTCGGCTTGGGGACTGAAAGGTCCCGGGTTTGATTCTGGTCAAGGGCATGTACCTTGGTTGCAGGCATATCCCCAGTGGGGGGTGTGCAAGAGGCAGCTGATCGATGACTCTCTATCATCGATGTTTCTAGCTCTCTATCTCTCTCCCTTCCTCTCTGTACAAAATCAATAAAATATATTTAAAAAAAAAAAGAAAAAAAAAGAAAAGAAATCTAAGATGGATTTAAGTTAAGAATTAAGAATCCGGGTGGGCCCCAGATGCAATCACACGTATCCTTAAAAGAAGGAGGCAGAGAAATATTTGACATAGACACTCAGAGAAGGCAAGGTGACCACAGAGCCAGAGACTGGAGCGATACAGCTGCCGGCCTAGGAATGCTGGCAGCCACCAGAAGCTGAACCAGGCAAGGAACCCTTCTCCCCAGAGCACAGCGCCACTCCTGACGCCTGGACTTGGCCCAGGGATGCCAATTTCAGACTCCTGGCCTCCAGAACTGCGAGAGAACAGGTGTCTGTTGCTTTACATCACCTGCTTTGCAGGAATTTGTTACAGCAACTATAAGAAACAAGTGCAAGGACTAATACATTCTCTTCACTATTTAAGCCTATTTGAACCTGCTGCTTTGCTAATAGCAGCCCTCTCTCTCCCTCCTCTGGTTAAGAGGGGGACTTGACCAAAGAGAAATCCCAAGGGGAGGCAGGGGAATGGGGGGAGGGAAATGGAGTACCAGATGGCTCGCAGACTCCAAGCAAAGGCATGACGGGAGTTTATTTACAGACAAGTCACAGCCAGGACCCACGCAGGCTCTGGCCAGAAGATTCCAGATACACAGAGGCCACGGGACCCATTAGTACTAGAGCCTTCCCCAGTCAGGCCCCTGGTGAAGGGACCAAGAGTCAGGCAGGGTCAAGGACACGGAAGACAGGGCCCCAATCCTTGCCAGATAGCAGAGGCCCCGCGGCCAGAGGAAGGAGCCGCTCTCGGCCCTGAAGAGTGGACACCGAGAAGCAACAGCTGCACTCGATGCCGGGCCACAGAGCAGAAGTCCCAGCGCAGTGGCTTGGGGAGCGGAGACACTGCAGGTCCCCCGCGGACCGGTCCCGGAGCCGGTGTCCCAGGCCACGGCTGCCCGTCACGCCGGGGGCTCCCCCAGTTTGCTGGTGGCACTCGTGATCCGCTTGTTCTCCCGGAGGTTCCGGAGGCGGGCACTGAGGCTGCTGATCTCCTCCACGTAGGCCTGGGGCACCCACCCCTTCTCGCCGTCTGCCAGGCGGACACCCTCCAGCCAGCCTGGGGGCACACAGCCAGGAGCAGCATCAGTGGCATCCGAGGGCACCAGGGCCGGGCTGCGAGGGGACGCCTAGGCCCTGTTGCAAGCCTCGTCTGCACCCCTGGGGCCTCGGTGACACCATCTCAGCATCTCCCAGCTCCAGGAAGGACCCTGTCTCTGGCAGTCTGCTAGAGCAGTGTTTCCCAAACTTGTGACATACGTGCACCCCTTCTATAATTTTCGTAACGCTGAGTACCCCTCGTACTCATGAGAACGTAGAATTAGGCGCAGCTAAGCGCGGTGCAGTGCATATCCCCACCAAACTCCGGTGCAACTTGTACCCCCACCAAACTCTTCCCGTACCCCTGGGGGTACACGTACCACACTTTGGGAAACGCTGTCCTAGAGGAACTTCTGACCTGTTTCTCACCCCTCCCCCGCAACATCCTCAAAGAAGGTTATTTCCCTCTCTCCCCCGCCAGTCACTCTCAATCCCACATCTTTACAAGCAGGAAGTTCCTCCTCTTGTCTAACTTCATTCCTGCATGCTGTGGCTGAGCAACACTTGCATGACCTCTCCCTGTGACGTCTTAGCCATCCAGCTACCTCCTGCTCCTGAGAACGCCACCGGGAGGCCCTCCCGGGAGGCCCCTCTCACCGTCACTGGTCCGGGTCCTCACTGCCAGGATGTCAGTCTTTTCCAAGGTCAGCTCGTCCGGCTGCAGGGCCTTGTACGTACGGACACACTGAACCTGGGGGCGGTCTGACAGCCCAAGAGCGACTGAGGGAGTGCCCAGGGCATGATGGAGCGGGCAGGGAGGGGCAGAGGAGGAAGTACGGGGGTGGGAGGGTGGCCGCTGCTGCTGCTGCTGCTGCTGCTGCTGCTTCTTTTCCTCTATCCCCTCCCTGGCCCACCCTGGCCGCTCTTCTCCTCTCTCACCCTAAACACAAGCCCCGGTGAGTCCAGTCCCTCCCAGATTCCGTTACTCTGCACCCAGAGCTCTCTCCTCCCAGCTCATCACAACACCTTGCTCCTGACCTCCAGGACAATGTCCAACTACCCCCAGAAACCCCCCCACAAAGCACTCTCAGCCCCTTCCTATGCCCTCTAATGCTCCCTGGTGCTCCCAGGCCACCCTCCTCACCTGGGATTCATGCTTCATCACTCCCCCATTCCTAACCCTCCAGGGCTTCCTGCTCCTTTTAGAATAAAGTCCTAAATCCTCCCTGCAGCATACAAAGCCCTGCGTGGTCTGGCATTGCCCCTTGCTAACCGCCTCTCCTCCCCTCTCCCCGCCCCCCCTCTTTCTCATGAAACTCAGCCACACTGCTCACCCGGCTGCTCCTCAGACACCCTTGAGCTCCCACCTGCCTCAGGGCCTTTGAACTGGCTGTCCCTCCCATCAGGAGTGCTCCCCCCCAGATCTCTGCACTCCTCCTGCCCCTCCTCATCTTTCAGGGGCCTTCCCTGAGCCCCTCTTTAGAATGGGAAGCTCACCCACCAACCTGAGCAGGATTCCTAGCTTAAGCCCGGGACTCTGTTCCGGTCCGGGCCCTCCGCTCTTCCTGTCACCCTCGACGGGCTGGTCGTGCTGGGAAAACCACACACCTGACTTTGAATCTCAGCCCTGCCACTGACTAGTGGGGTGAACTCGGACAAGTCGTCTTACCGCTCTGAATCTCTGTTCTCTAACCTGTAAAATGGGCTTCTGTGGGGACGTGCTGGGAGGATATAAAAGGCTTTGTCACCTCCAGGGTGCTGTCCGTGCACACAGGGGTCAGCCTGTCCTATGTGAATTCTGTCCATCCTTCAAGGTTCTGCAGAGCCGCCCCTGACTGCCCCGGGCAGCTGACCTCTCTCTCTGTAGTCCTGCTGGCTGCCTGGCACCCAGGATTGGAGGAAAGGGGGAAGCAAGGGACCCAGCCCAGGGGGTGCAGGCCTCGGAGGGAGGAGGTTGGCAGGCTCTACCTTCCCCCTCGCTGATGACCTCCTGGTCTTCCTGGGGCCTGGAGGGGCACATGGCAGAGATCCATCGCTGCTTCTCACTTCTAGAAAAGGGAGGCCAAGGCATCACAGCATGCAAACTGCATTCCCAGGGCCAGGGTGGTGAGACAGCTGGGATCCAGACCCACCAGGTCATGTATGATGCCCACCCCAGGATTCACCTCACAGCCCTGACCCACAGGCCTGTGCCCTACCAGCTTTGAGCATAAGAACAGAGCAAGCCCAGACCCCCTGGGTGCCAGCTCTGCCCATGCTCTGCCTCATGCCATTGTCCTGAAGTCAGAGAAAGAAGGCCAGAACCTGCCTGGGACGGGTCCTCCCTCCCCAGCCCCAGGCCCACTCACTCCGTGCGGGCCCTCAGCAGGAACTGGTGCTTCGTGTGCTGCCCGTGCAGGAGCTGGAGGAGGAACACGTGGCCGGGGATGCCCTGGGGCTTCAGGCTCAGGTCCTTCACCTGCAGCTCGGCCATCTTGGCGTGGACAAAAACGGCAAACTTGCCCAGCCTACGGGACCAGGGGAGGTGAGGTCAGCCTGGCCCGTGCCTGGGCTCCCGGGCCCCACCCTCAGGACCAGCCAAGTTCTGATGAAAGGGAGGAGGAGTCAGCTGCCTCTCTAGCATCCTCCTCCAGGAAACTCGACTGCGCAGGGCACCACCTCCCTGGCAGCCAGCAGAGTCCGCAAGAGGAACTGGGAACTCCGTTCCTAGCAGATCCCTGGCAGGTGGAAGGGGAGACCAGCCTCTGACCCCGGGCATGTTGTCAGCTTCTCTCTGAGCCTCAGCCCTGAGCCCGTTCTAAGAGCCCGCTGGGCAGCAACTCTGATGAGACCTCGTCTCTGTTTAGCGGGGTCTAGCATCCGACAGCCTGGGGCTCCTTCTGGCCCCTGGACTATCAGCTCCGAGATACTGACAACAACGAGGGAGCCTACTTACCAGGGAACTAGTTAGAGGGCAACAGAGAGTAACCCACACAGCACGCCTGGCCCAGGACAGGCGCATGGCGAAAGCTGGCTGTTATGGTTACGACTCCGGGCAGAGCTGGGACTCCAGGGCTGTGCTCTAACTGGCTTAAGCTCAGAGCAGCTTCAAGTTCTTTGAGCACAGTCCAGCCCTTGGTTCTATTAGATGAACCTGCCTTTCCTGCTGAAGCCTCCCAGGCTCAGGGTGCCCTGGCAACACCGTCGGGTGCAGGCTGCGGCTCCCAGGCCCCGGATGGGCCGGCTGTGGGCCCGTTAGCGGGGAAGGGAGCCCAGCTCCGATCGACCTCCCCCGACACGGGGCCCCGACTCACTCCTTCCGCCGGGAGAGCAGCAAGCAGTCGTTGAAGAGGTGCAGGTAGACTGCCTTACTGGACAGCTTCAGCTTGGCGGGGGGCGCCGCAGGCAGCGGGGCCAGCTCCACCAGCTCCCCGTGCCGCACCAGCCAGCGGGCCTGGGAGATCAGCGGGAAGATCTGGGCGGGAGGAGAAGGCGAAGAGGGAGAAGAGGTCAGACCCGGGGCAGCGGGGCAGAGAGCACAGGCCAGGGAGGGGTGGGGGCAGTGATGCATTGGCCTGCAGCCCCCGGGGAAGGAGGGAACAAGAACTGCCCTTCGTGTGCCCACCCGCCCGCTGTGGGCACGCACCTTGCCCTCGAAGTGGATCTTCTTGCTCAGGTGGATGAGCTCCTCCGTCCTCTTCATGGACTGCACGCTGGCATTGCACTCTTGCACCAGCTGGGGAGGTTGTGGCTGGGTCATCCGCAGCCCCACAGCCCTGGCTCCCTCAGCCCCAGCTCCCACAGCCCAGCCTCAGACACCCACCCGGGGACTGTTACAGACATAGGAGGCCCCTGAGAGCCAGAGGCCCTGCCCTGCCAAGCTCACCTCCTTGAGGGCATTGAAGGCCTTGGTGGCCATGTCTTCGTCTTCAGAGCCCTGTGCTGTCCGCTTCAAGATGTTCTGGAGGGTGGGGTCGGTTCAATGCGACAGGCCAGGGCCTCCCCCGTGACCCTGCCCGCCCACGGGCGCCCCCCAGAAAGGGCAGTGGAGGTTCACAGTGGCGTCTCCGTCGCCCAGCCCCCACTGCAGCCTGTGCCCTGTGGGTACCTCCACCAGCATCTTGAGGCGGGTGATTCTCTGGAACGGCAGGATGAGGAAGGAGGTGAGGGGCAGGCGTTGGCACACGGGAGACTCCTCCAGGCGAGCCAGGATGCCAGGGAACTTGGGGTTCTCCAGGCTGGAAGTTGGGGAGGGGCCTGGGGTCACAGCTGGGTCTGAATTCCTGGGATCCATGACCCAGCCACCCCGTGGTCCTTCAGGCGCCTTCTCAGCACATCCTTCCTGCCCGCTGGTCACAGAGCCCCATACAGGGACGCCCTCCCTCTCAGGCCACCCTGCCTCACCCAGTCCCCCCCCCCCGCCTACGCCCACCCGAGAGCCTCTGCGTCCTCCCCCCTGTCCGAGTGCCCAGCCCTACAGCAGGCGCTGGTAGGTGCGCTCCTGGTAGGCCTGGTTGGTGACGTAGGGCAGGTAGACTCGGCGGAAGGCGGGGCAGTGGTGCAGCACAATGTCACACACACTGAAGCGCAGGACGTCTGCCTCCAGTCGCTGCTCCAGGTCCTGCAGGAACCTGAGGGGTCAGGGACAGCGTGAGACCCCAGACCTAGGAGCCCGGGCCAATCTCATCCCCGCCCCCCACCAGGCCAGGCCCTTACCTCTCGCTGGTGCTCTTGACCTCGGGCAGTTTGGAGAACAGCCACTGCTTGTCCTGTGCGCCCAGACACTCACTCAGCTCCGCTGAGCCCAAGAAGTGGCCCACGGCCACCGACAGGCTATGGATGTACGAGGCCTCGGACGTGATCAGCTCAAACTTGGCCTGAGGCAGACGAGGGGTTGAAACGTCAGACCAGTCCACCCGGACGCCTTTCTGGCCCCGGACACCGCCTCTTGCTCCCCACCCTGATCTGGTGCCTGGTGGGGTTCAGGACAATTGTTCAAACCAAACTGGAGCCCCTAGCCCTGGGTGGCCCCGCCCCGGCCCCGCCCCTTTTCTTGGCCCCGCCCGCCGCTCGGTTCCGCTAGGGCTGGCTCTGCAGCTCCCAGGTCCAGGCTTCCAGCGATCCCTCCTCCCCTGGCCCAGCCTGAATCGGCCCCTCCTCGGGCCCTGCCCTCTCCTAGGCCTCGCCCCCGGGGACCCCGCCCCTTCGCCCCGCTTCTCCACCGGCTTTCGTCTCCAGGGCTCCTCCGAGGTCTCCAGCAGCCAGCCCCGCCCGGTCAGGTCCTAGCAACCCCCTGGGCATTGCCCGTCCCCTCGGTCCCGCCTTCTGGTGGCCCCGCCTTCCCCACCTGGCAGTCCGGCTGGCCTGCGACCCCCTGTACCCCGGGACCGCGCTAAGTCCCCGGACCGGGTTCTCCTGGCCCCGATCCATATAGTAAGTAGCCCCCTCCCCTCGGGGCCTCGGACCCCCTCCCAGGCCGGCAGCGCACACCTCCTGCAGCTTGCAGTCGCGCAGGCTCAGCGTGGCCAGCACGCCGCTGCCGCGCACGTCGGGGATGTCCTGCCAGAGCGAGAAGGTGGAGCCGCGCGCCGAGCGCTGCGCGCGGAAGGAGCTGCTGGGGGAGAGGTTGGCGCGCGGCGGCCCGGGCCCCTCCTCCGCGCCCTCGGCCTCGTCCCCCGCGGCCTCCTCCTCGCGCTGCTGCCGCCGCAGCTCGCGGGCGCTGGCCACGTCGCTGTATTCCTGGTAGAGGACGGCTGGGCGGGGAGGGCGGGGGGCTGTGGGCGCCGCCGGCCGCGGCCCGGCCCCGCCCGGCCCCCCGAGAGCCAGCTCCCTCCGCAAGCAGCGGGACAGTGAATGCATTCATTCGTTCATTCATGCTTTCATTCGTTCGTTCACCCAGTCCATAAACACTGCTTGAGCACCCACTGCGTGCTCGCCCCGGTGCTGGGAACTGGGATTCCGTCCTCTCCCTCCCACACGACCCCTGCGTCTCCACCCTCGGACCCGGGTCTCCCGGTCGCCCCAGGCCCTCAGCCCCTCCCTCCGCGGCCCCCTCCTGCGTACAGTTCAGGAGGAACCGTGACTGTCGCCGCTCGCTGGCGCTTCTGGAGCCCGGAGCCGGCTCTTCCTGCGACTCCAGCCTGCAGAGAGAGAGAGGGGACAGAGGGGGGACGTCGGGGCTCCGCGGCGTGCACCCCGGCCTCAGACCCGACCCCGGAGGGCGAGGTGCTACCTGGCCTCGGGCCCGCCGCCGGGGCTCCCGCCGGGGTCCGCAGGGGCTGCCATCGCGGCGCCCTCCACCCTCATCTCCGCGCTGCTTGACTCCCGTCCGGGCGCTGCTTTCCCTGGAGAAGGCGAGAGCGGAGGAGGGTGGGGGGTGGCCCTGGGCAGCGGGGGCCGCACTCCAGCGGAGGGCACCCCGCCTCGAGTGCCCGGGGAGTGAGCCTGGCTCCACCCACATCTGGCTCCCGGGCTGCCCTTGGGGCCGAGGGGAGGGGCAGGTACCTTCCCGGGCCGCTCCCGCCGGGCCCGGGGCTCTGGCCGCCGAGTGCCGCCCCAGGCGCAGGGACGAGTGCAGCCGGGTCATCAGCTCCGAGGCCGAGAAGCGCCTCCGCTCGGGCCCCTCCAGGCCCCCGCGCGGGGGCCCCGCCGGCTCCGGAGGCCTGGGCTCCTCCGGGCTCAGGGGCGGCTCTGCCACCTGGCCGGGCTCCAGGAAGACGGCGTGGGTCTCGGGGCCGCCAGGGGCCTCTTCGCTCTGGTACACCCGCATCTTGCGCCCTGCAGGTGAGGTGAGGGCACAGGCTGGCGACCCCGGGGCTGGGGCTCTCTCCCACCTCCTCTCTGCCGCCGCCCCGTGGCCCCGAGCACCTAGGCAACATGTCCAAGTGAAAGGGCAGTGTGTCTGCTGAGAGCTGGTCCCCAGAGAAATGAAACCAGCTGGAGGGGCAGAGGGCACACAGTGCTGACTGCAGTGGGCAAAGGGTGAGCGGAGGGCCAGGGCGCCGGGGACAGCCACCTACTTGCTGTGCGACTGCGGACAAGGCATTCCCGTCCCCCTGAGCTCCGGCTCCCCTGTCACCAAAACCTACCACTCGTCCTGCCTGTTTTGGGGGACTCTGGGGCTTAAGAGTCCTAAAAAGCCACCAACCTCTCCCCTACTCACCCCTCTGGGCCACCCCTCTCTTCCCCTCCGCCTCCCCCTCCCCCCACCCGGTCACCCCGAGTGACTCACAGGCTGACTTCTTCTCCGAGCCGTGGCTGGCCCGGCGCTGAGGCTGTGTGTGCTGGGGACTCCAGGGCCCCTCCAGAGGTGGGGGCTGGGCACTAGGGCAGTGTGGCCAGCTGCCAGCCCTGCTGGGCCGCATCCCCCCACTGGGAGAGGTCTCGGTGTCTGGGACTCCTGGGGACGGCGACCATAGCAGCCCCTGGAGAGGAGCAGGGGTCCCCAGGGACCAGCGGCTGCCAGGGGCCTGCAGCTCCTCAGGGGTGACAGGGAAGAGATCCAGACACACCGAGCTTGGGGGCTGCAGGGTGGGCAGCTCCACAAAGGACAGGCTCTCCTGCTGGCACACCGCTACTGGGAGGCAGGCCGTGCCAGGTGGCCCAGCCAGGGGGGGCTGGAGGGTGGCAGGTGGCCCACAGTCCATTCCTCCTGTGCTCTGCCAGTCACCTGGCCTGGAGGGGAGAAGATATCAGAACCAGACACAGGCCCTAACTGGTTTGGCTCAGAGGATAGAGCGTCGGCCTACAGACTCAAGGGTCCCAGGTTCGATTCCCATCAAGGGCATGTACCTTGGTTGCGGACACATCCCCAGTAGGGAGTATGTAGGAGGCAGCTGATCGATGTTTCTCTCTCATCGATGTTTCTAACCCTCTATCCCTCTCCCTTCCTCTCTGTAAAAAAATCAACAAAATAATCTAAACCGGTTTGGCTCAGTGGATAGAGCGTCTGCCTAAGGACTGAAGGGTCCCGGGTTCGATTCCCATCAAGGGCATGTACCTTGGTTGCGGGCACATCCCCAGTACGGGGTGTACAAGAGGCAGCTGATCGATGATTCTCTCTCATCGATGTTTCTAACTCTCTATCTCTCTCTTTTCCTCTCTGTAAAAAATCAAGAAAATATATATATATTTTAAAAATCAATAAAATATATTTTAAAAAAAGAACCAGACACAGGACAGCAGGGCTGGCCAGAAAGCCACCGTGTCCTGGAGGCCTGGACAAACCCTGAGATAGCCATGTGTACACTCATTTGTCCCAGCACGCTCACACACCTAATTACGCAGGAACCCCTCATCCTTACACGACATTTAATCAATGATAGGCAGGTGCTTTATACATTGCATTTCATTTATCCTCACACCAACCCCATTATCCTCATACCCCCCTCATATGGGTGAGGAGAGTGAGGCGCAGAGGTATTTGGTGAATGGTGGAACCGGGATTCAAACCCAGGCAGTCCAGCCTCTGAGTCTGTGCTTTTAACCACCTTGTGCACTTCCTAACTCGGACGTATGATCAGATGTACAGATACATACACTGTCATGTACATACATGCACACACATTTTCTCCCCAGTACACACACTGACATACACAACTTCACCGATACGCTCAGACATTTCCCATTCACAGGCTCACGGTTCACACACTCCTTTACACGACCGCACATTCTCACACACAAGGACCCCTCCGTTATTTACATAGCCACTCGAGCTCTCTCCCACTCCTGTTCCGGTCACACTCACCCACCGGGCTGCAGACACAAACACGCAGGCCTCGGAAGTCCCGGCTCTGGTGTTACCCAACCTCCCTTCCCATGCCCAGCGTTGCAGCTTTCAGCGCTGAGTGGTGCCCACACCCATGCCAAGCTGGCTGGGAGAGTCACAGACTGGCAGGCGCGCCACCAGGCAAATCAGGCTGGGCACTCCCAGGAGCGGGACGGGGAGGTGCCCCGGCCCCAGCTTGGGGCAAGAAGGGTTTCTTCCCCACTCCGGCTTCCAGCCCCGGGAGCAGGCCAGGCTGGATGGGTCCTCCCTGCATAGGAAGTCACCCCAGGAGGCTGCTGGGGCCTGGGGACAGGCCTAACGACCCAGGGGTCCAAGCCCCCACAGCCCCGGCCCCCTGCCGGTGGCCCTCCTGCGCCCCTCACCTCTCCCGCTGAGGCTGCTGCTGGTCGGCTGCTCCGGCAGGGGAAGCCCTCTCTCTGCCCAGCTGGCTGGGGGAGATCCCACCCAGACAAAGAGTTTGATTCATCAAACCCTGTGGTGAGGCAAGCGGCAGGGAGGGAGGGAGGGAGCAGGCAGCGGCTGGGCGGGGGCCTACCCTAGCCTGGCCTCGCTGTGGGCAGGCAGGGCAGCAAAGACCCCCCCCCCCAATCCCCAGAGGCCCCTCAGGCCAAAAGGGCAGTGCCCAGCCCGGCAGGGCCAGGAGGCCCAGGAGAGAGAGAGACCCGGAGAAATGGAGACCTTTCACAGCAGCTTAGACACGGAGACCCGAAATGCCGAGACAGCCAGGGACACAGAGATGGAGACGGTGACGCTGACAGTTTCAGACAGACCGGATGCTGTGGAGCCCAGAAAAACCCGGAGGCAGATGGAGGAACATGGCGTGCACTGCAGGGTTGCCAGTCCGGGAGGGGAAGCCAAAAACGAAAAGTTACAATCCAGGTTGGCAAAAGCAGGGCCAGGGGAGCCATCGGAGCAGGGTGCTGGGCTCGCCTCCACCTGAGCTCTCCAGGAAGGCTTCCTGGAGGAAGGAAGAGCTAACTGTTCTGACGGAAATATCTGGGGACCCAATACACGTAGGTCAGGGAGAAAGCCTAGGCCTGCGGGAAACAGTGACGATGTCAGAGACCCTGGGAGGAAGGGAGAGAGGACCCAGAGGGGACAGCTGGATCTGTGACTGGACCCCACTCTCTCCGCACCCAGCCTCTCAACTCTTTTTCATTGATTGATTGATTTCAGAAAGGAAGGGAGAGGGGGGGAGAGAGAGAGAGGGGGAGAGAGAGAGAGAGAGAGAGGAACATCAATAAGAGAGAATCATCCATCGGCTGCCTCCTACACACCTCCAACTAGAGTTGGAGCCTGCAACAGGGGCATGTGCCCTCATCGGGAATCGAACCATGACTTTCTGGTTCATAGGTCGACAGTCAACCACTGAGCCACACCAGCCAGGCACTTTCGCTTGTTTATTAAACCTCTGTCCATCTAAGCAAGTCTCTCAGTTTCCTCATCTGGTAACTAGGATAGTCACGTCCAACACTAATATGAGAATTAAGAATAACGGAATTGGTCATTGGTAGTCATTCTGAGTGTTATTAGTCTTTCTCCAGTCAGGGGCTGTCACACAGATAGGGAAACTGAGGCAGTGAGGGTGAGTCATACCCAACTTTGTAGGAGCATCTGGTAGGAGACAGGGGACCACTGTCCACCACACAGGTCTCTTTCTCTCCAGGAAGCCCTCAACACAGAAGTCTCACTTGCTTCTGCGGGCACAGGCATGCAGTAACACAAGCATGCAAGGACACACACATGGAAGAACACACGCATGCCCCCGCTTCCTTGTATTCTGGGAGACTTTCTCCACTTGGGCTCTGCAAGCTCCTGAAGGGCAGGGAGGCACCACCCGCTCCCCTGTCAGTTGCAGAGAGAAATGAGCAAAACATGGAGCCCTGGGGCAGGAACACCCACTCCAAAGCCTCAGGGGGGAGGCTTCCTAGGGGGAGCCAGGAGCCGGGAGCCGGTGGAGGCAGGTCTCTAGGCGGGGGAAGCCGGGATCCAGGCCCAGGGGCATAGGAATGGCCCATGTAGCTGGGCTGCCGGCCCCGTGACCTTCCAGGCCTGTGGCCCCTCTACCCCAGGGCTGGGGACCGAGGAGGGGCCGAGCTGTGTATGTATTGTGTGTAGCTCATCTCTGCTGGAGAGGAAATGGAAACTTCACGAAGAGAACTGGCCAAGGGAGCAGAGACATTATCTGCCCAAGACATGATCGCAGGAGACTCCAGTGCCCACTAGGCCAGTCACAGTCCTTCTGGAACCCATGGGGGAAAAACCCTGCCAAGGTTCAAGGCCCAGTGTGGGCATGAACAAGCTGTGTGGCCCTAGGCAGGTCTGTCCCTGGGCCTCCGTGTCCCCATCAGTAAATCAGGATCCTCCGCAGGATGGGAAGGATGGTCAGGGGCCCAGAGTCCATCCGGTGGGCACTGCTAATCACAGGACAATGGATCCTTGGCAAGACTGGCAGAGAGGATCCCCCGGGCACTCCCATAGTCCAGGGAAAGCAGCTCTGGCCTCCTGTGCCCAGTTTTTCCCTGCCCCTTCCCTGGTGCCCCTTGCCCTGGTCCCGGGACAAAGCCAAGCGGAAGGTCATGGCCGGAAAGGGGATCCCGGCCCAGCAGGCTGTGGAGCCCAGAAAGGCGCGGTGAGTGTGGCGGGCAGCACAAAGGACTCCCTCCGGAAGACCAGCGGGAGAAGGATGGGCTGCTGGCAGCCAGGTGGGGCCCTACCTCAGCCAGGGAGCTCCTTCCGGTCCAGCCTCCCGCACGGTCCAGGGCTCCAGGCCACCCTGGGGGCTCTGGGGCTGCAGCCAGGTCCTCAGGGGGCGATGTCAGCATGGCCCCTAAGCCCGGGCAATGCAAGCTCCTGGGTATTGTGTGGGGCAGGGAGGGGGGAGGTGAAGGCGGAGGGAACCTCGCAGGCGGGCAGGCGGCTGTCTCAACGTGCCTGCTCCCCGCCCCCCTTCCCCAGAACCGGTTTGGCCAGTCTGGGGTACGGAGGGGGGCTGGAACAATGGGAGTCCTATGCCCAGGAGCGGCTCCGGAGGACCCCAGACCAACACCCTAAAGATGGGGAGGCGCTGCTTTTCCTCCCAGGAGACAGGTCACCCTCTTCCAGAGCTTCCCAGGTGGGAGGGGCGCTCAGGACTTCCCTTGGGGCTGGCGGGCATCCTGGGGGCTTCGCAGGGAACCTCTCAAGCCTTGGACTCCTCAGGGACCTTGAGCACGCGTTGGTGAGCTGACCTCGCTGAGCCGCGACAGCATCTATAAAATGGGAACACTCATCCCTATGGTTGGGAGGTGGAAATCATGAAGGTAGGTGATGCATCTGCCATCATCCTGGCCAGTCCTTCCAGCATCACCGCTCCTCACGAATGACCCATCTCATCACCTCCAACAGCCTCCTCCTCCTCCAGGAAGTCTTCCCAGACCCACACCCAGTGGGCCCCCAATACACCAGTTCAGATAGCCCAAGCAGGACCCATGCCAGGGCCTACTCTGTGCCCGGCATACACGTTCCCAAGCCTGGGAAAGCGGAAGCTGCTTTCTCCCTCACACCACCTGCCTTCCTCTGAGCACGCAGGCACCTCACAGCAACATGAATACGTACATGCATGCTAATATCCATGTCGCTGATAACTCACGTTGCACACTCACTATGTGCCTGGCACTCACTGTTCCAGCTCTCTCTCCTCAGATGAGGACACGAGGCTTGTACAGGCTGTAACGGGCATTATCCCATTTAAATCTCTAATTAGCTCTATGGAGCCCGTATCCCAAAGATGATGAAATGGAGGTTCTAGGGATGAAGCAACTTACTCAAGGTCACGTGGCTAGTAAGAGTCAGAACCGATATTCGAATCTCAGGCCTGCCGACTCCACCACCGACCTGTGTCCTTCCTCACTGCCTGTGCCGTGGCATTGGGGACAACCTGGTGAAGTGTTGGAAAGTCTGTTGGGAGGTGTCTCAGCTGCCCTAACTAAATCCCTTTATTCATATACCTTATTCATATACCACAGGCTTTAATGGACGTATGGGGCAGGGGGTCCAGGCCCCAGGCCCCAGAGAACTCCCCCCTATCAACTGGTGACCGTTCGGTAGTTCAAAGTGACCAGGTACCTCCACTCCCTCATATTCCTCTTGCCCCCCCTCCCCCCCAACCCTCCCGTAATGAGGAGGCACTGCACCCAGGCGATGGGGCCGGTGCCCAGGGAGAGGCAGCAGGCTGGGAGGCCAGGCCTCTGCTGTCAGCACTGCACACACGGCAGGAGCCAGGGCACGGAGAGGGAGGCAGGGCAGGACTGGGGTCTTCCGGGAGCTCTAACTCTCGCATCCCAGCTCGGGTGACCTGGAGGACGCTGGCCAAGGTACTGTCCAGACCCCGAGCCGGAAGCAGAGAACCTTCATGAAGGGAGCATCCTTGGGGGCCTCGGGTCCTGGGAGGGCAGGCCCGCCTCGCTCGCTACTGCCGCCTGGGCTCTGGGGACAGAGGCTGTGCTGCAGCGAACCGACAGCACCGCTTGGCAGGGCTGAGCAGGCGGCCCCCCAGACCGCGGGGAGAAGAGCCGAGCCCGGAGAATGCTTAAGAGGGCGGGGCGTGGGCGGGGCCGGGATGATTAGCGGTGATGGGGCCCAACCCTGGCGCTGGGAGAGGACCAAGCAGAGGCGGGAGGAAAGCTGAGCTAAGGCCTGGGCGGGCAGAGGGGCGCGGCCAGAGGGTGGGGCGGGGTCCGCAGGCCCTCGGACCCAAGCTGTGACAGGTGGTCCAGCACCTGCTTAGCCAGGTGGCGGCCGCGCTTTATCTTGGTAGCCAGAATGAATGACTGGAGACAGAATGAATGAATGACTGGAGCCGGAATGAATGACTGGGGCCAGAATGAATGACTGGCGCGTCAGACACCAGCCAGGCGAGGGGGCGCAGGAAGAATACCACGTGCGCTAGCCGGTTTGGCTCAGTGGGTAGAGCAGCAGCCTGCAGACTGAAGGGTTCCAGGTTCAATTCCGGCCAAGGGTATATACATGCCTGGGTTGCGACCTCCATCTCCAGTGGGGGGCGGGCGGGAGGCAGCTGATCAATGATTTTCATCATTGATGTTTCTAACTCTCTATCTCTCTCCCTTCCTCTCTAAAATCAATAAAAAATATATTTTTTTAAAAACACCACGTGCTGGGGAGAAGCGGGGGCCAAAGAGAGAATGACTCCTTAGCAATCTCATTGACCAGTGCTTCCTGAGTGAAGACACTATTCTGAGGGTTTTCCGAGTCTTCGTCCATTTAATCCTCACAACAACTGTAGGAGGTAAATACAGTTACTGCTCCCGTTTTACACATGAAGAAACCAAAACATAAGCAAGTGGTCATTTGTCCAAAGACAGAGATATAAGCAGAGCCCCTGGACACCAGGGCCCTGGAGAGGCAGGGCTAGGAAAAAGGGTCTGGAGCAGGGCTGAGGGCATGCTCCCCCTTCCTCCGGGTCTGTTGCCAAGAGATAATAGTGGTGGTGGGGGCGGCGATACTGACTCATGGAGCAAGTGCTTGACACTGAATTTTCGTAATGATCCGATCAAATAGATCCTGTTCTGTCATATTTCCCCACGTGCAGCCTGTCTGCGGCAGAGCCTGACCTTGAACCCAGGTCTGTGCGACGCTGAGCCTACCCCGAAGGGAGATGACGAAGCCGAGATGATGCACAGCTAGCAGCTTCCAGCAGGAGTGAGGCTCCCTCCCCTGCGGGAAGGACTGCCTGGGTTGCCGAGGGCGCAGGGTCCTGCGAGGCCGCCTCTGCCCTGGAGGTCTGGCCTGAAGCCTCCAGCTCTGCCCACTCCTCCCTTCCCCAGACTCGGCTTTCTGCCCCCCAGCTGGGCCCCGCCCCATCCCTCTCCCAGGCGGTGCCCCACCCCTCCCAGGCAGGGCCCGCCCCCCGCAGCCTAACACCCCTTCCTGGGCCAGAAATACCCCATTGGCTTCTCTTGGGTTGAGCCTTAGACGTGGGTCATGGTCCTACAGGCCCTTGGGCCCGCCTCCTGGGCCAGATGGGCTGGAGGTGCGAACGCCAGGCTGTGCTGTTCCCACTGGCCCAGGAGACGTGGCAGTCCCCGGGGAAGGCGCTGGGGAGAGCGGGCTGGGCTGGAGGGTGTTCAGGGCCCCGTTTCACCCCCTCCTCGCACTCCCACAGGCAGGAGGAGCCCAAGCCGCAGGGTCCTAGCCCTCTGGCCCTGTTTCCCAATCTTTGCCCCCGATTTCCGGCTCCAGCCTCTGTTTCCCTCCTCCTGAGCCTCCCTCCCAGTCTCTGATCTCCGTTACTCCCGACCCTGTATTCCACGCCTTTGCACCGCACCCACACTGACCGAGACTGAAGTAGGAGCAGTCAGACCCCAAAGCTCTGTGTCTGCTCAGCCTCTGGCAGCCGGAGCTCAGACACGGACTTACGGGTATCCAGTCAGCTCTCCACCCATTGTTGAGCAGGACAACACAGGGTGCCAGTGGGAAGATCATCACAAAGATGGCGATGGGGGAATGTGTCCCACACACCTACAGATCACTGCACAAGTGGGCACTGTGCCCTCTGGCTCTGGCGCCAGGTCACAGCTCAACTCCATACTGAGGCCGACCCTCTCCCCACTTGCTCCTGATCCTCTGGCTCCCCCTCCCTGAGAGCTAATGCTGGTGACAGGGCTGCTGGGGGACTTGCCTCCTCCCCACCAGCCCCACAGGGTTACTAGTTCCCAAGGGCCTGTGGGACCACAGGCCACATCTATGCGAAAGCCATGAGAAGGCCGTGGCCCAGGAAGGGGGTGTCATGCTGCTGGGGACAAGCTCTTTGGATGATTCTCCCTCCCATTCCCACTAAATGATAAGGGCAATGGACACAGTAACACCACCTCCCGCGAGCCCAGCGCTTCAGGACTCCTAACCAGTCCTTGTTTTTGTTTTTAAATATATTTTATTGATTTTTTTACAGAGAGGAAGGGAGAGGATAGAGAGCTAGAAACATCGATGATGAGAGAAACATCCATCAGCTGCCTCCTGCACACCCCCCACTGGGGATGTCCCCGCAACCAAGGTACATGCCCTTGACCGGAATCAAACCTGGGACCTTTGAATCCGCAGGCCAACGCTCTATTCACTGAGCCGAACCGGTTTTGGCTTAACCAGTCCTTGTTAAACCCTGGAGGCTCCCTGGGGGAATGAAAAGCTCTGGCTTATTTCTGGGTCCCCAGCATCCAGTCCAGGGTGCTCAGTGAAAGGCCACCACAGAGATGGCAATGACCCCAACCTGCAGCCCCGGGAGGTGGGGGTGACAGGTCTGGGCCACCCAGGGAGGAGTGAGCAAATGAATGCAAGGTGTTAGAATTTCACATCGGCTCCATGAAGAGCCCGTATGTTCCAGCTGAGAAAACCTAAGACCAAGGAAATCAAGGACCAGCTTCAAGGTCAACAAGATGCTGGTAGAGAAAAGTCTGGAGGCTCAAGGATGCTGCTGCCCTGCTGATCACCTCCTTGGGAGGCAAAAGCCTCAGAGGGCAGGGGCTCCTCACCGCCTCTGAAGGATGTAACGTAGAAGGTAGAGGAGTAGAAACAAACAAATGGGAAGATGAAGACTTTGAAAGTGAAGGCATCTCCACCAAGGTACATGCCACTGACCAGGGTCCGGATTCTGTACATCTCTGGGCAAAGGGAGAGCTGGCCACAGTTCTATTGGGTGCAAAGGGGCTGGCACAAGCCATCAAGTCAGCCCATATGCTCTGTCCTCAACCCACCTTCCCCTAATACCAACCATGTGCCCCTGCCAGCCCAGAGATAACTGGCTGGGTGTGAGGTACCTGTAGCTGGAGGCTCAGAGTCTGGCCCAGAGGCCACCTTCACTGGGGCCGCTCCCACAATCTGCTGCTGCCCTGAGTGGGGAGGGGGTAAAGTCAACGGGAGCCAAAAACAGGGGGACCAAGCAGAAGGCCGGCTGCCTGGGAGCAGAGCTGGAGGCTACAGTGGGAAGGTCTATTCACACTGTGGGTCTAGAGGTCCTTCCCTGAGGTATGAGATAAGCTGAGGCCTCAGCTGTGAACCAGAGTTGGTGCTAAGAAGATGCTGGTCAGTCCTTTAGACCCTGGAAGGGTTGGTAAGCCTATGGGCAGTGCCCAAGGTAGACCGATGTGGCAAGTGCCAGGCAGGCAGGCAGGCAGTGTGCTCAGGAGTGTGAGCAGGGATATGTATGAGCCTCCTGTGTATGCCAGGAGTGCTGGTATGTGCACACATGATCACATATGAGTGTGAGTGTACAAAGTTGCCAGTGCTGACCACTTAGGAGGGTCTCCAAGGGCCAGCTGGATTTGGGGGTCAGTAAACCTAAACCTTCAGAGCCCTGCCAGCTGGGTTAGATTCAGGCCAGGCCTCAGCCCAGGAGTCAATCTATGGAGCCAGTGAGGTATCATAAGGGACTTGCAGAAAGTTCAAAGGTCCTTAGCACCCTCCGCCCCTCCACCCTCACTTTAGCCTGCATTCACCAGTGTCAGGTGAGATACAGAAATGGGCATGTTCAGCCCTGGCATCGTCCCATGTTCAGAAAGGTTGCTGGTTCAATTCCCAGAAGGGCACATACCTAGGTTGTGGGCTCAATCCCCGGTAGGGGGTATGCAGGAGGCAGCCAATTGATTTTTTGCTCTCACATGTTTATTTCTCTCTCTCTCTCTCTCTCTCTCTCTCTCTCTCTCTCTCTCTCTCTCTCTCTCTCTCCCAACCTCCTTTCCCTTCCTCTCTCTTTCTAAAAATAAATAAATGTTTTTAAAAAGAGACAATACTTAAAAAAAAAAAAAATGAACAAGTTCACTCATTTTCCTGCTCCTGTCCTTGCTTGCTTCCCACAGACCAACTCACTCCCTGACTCCGCCTGGTCCATGATGCTTTCTGATTCCCCCAGACTGGCAGGGTCCCTGTCCAAAGCCTAGTCTGACAGCTTCACGATTAAGATAGACACTGCAGCGTGGGGGGCTCACCTCCTGGACACCGGGAGGACATTTCCCAGCCTCCCCTGCAACTCCCTGTGAGCATGTGACTAGGGGTTGGCCAAAGAATGTGGACCGAAATGAGGCACACGGCCCTAGGCCAGGTCCACAGAAACCTCCTGGGTGACCTCTCCCTTGCACTCACTCGTCTGCTCATGAAATGGTGATGCCCCAGGGCAAACTGGAAAGCCACGTGTTAAAGACCTCAGAGCCTGGGTCTCGGAGTGAATGAACGGAGCCAAGACCCCAAAGCCACCTTCATCTCCATCTGAGGTGAGACCTAAGAGAAAAACTTCTAGAGGTAAGCCACTGAGACTTTAGGGTTTTCTGATACAGCAGATGGTGTTACCTCAACTACAGGGTGGGATAAGATGTATACAGTTGTGAGTATGTGAAACACAGAGTTTATTCTTTGTATTGCCATTTGTTAATTACTAGAGGCCCAGTGCACAAATTCGTGCACAGGTGGGGTCCCTCAGCCTGACTGATGATTGGGGCTGATCAGGGTCCTCTCACTCAGTCCCGATCAGGGATGATCTGGGCCGGCTGGGGGTAGGGACCATGGGAGGCTGGCCAACCGCAGGAGGTTGGCTGTGGGAGCACACTGGCCACCAGGAGAAGCTCCTGCATTGAGTGTCTGCTCCCTGGTGATCAGTACATGTCATAGTGACTGGTCGACTGGTCATTCAGTCAATTGGTTGTAATGGTCGTTTGGGGGTGTATATATATATATATATATATATATATATATACATATACATATACATATACATACATATACATACATACATAAAAGAGACAAATACTTTTTAAAAAATGAACAAGTTCATGGTCTTATTTTCCATACAAACAACTGTAAACCTACTTTTGCCCCACTCTGTAATACGAGGTCTTGATTGAAGTCACTTGAGGTCCAGGGCCCAGCTGAGACCCCCTCTCTCCCCAGTCATCTTCTCTATGTGCTGCAGAAGGGGAGGGACAGCAGGAGGCTGGGGAGATGCTGGAGTCCTGGGGTCCTGCCCATGCAGTTCTTCAGTTTCCAGAGCCTGGGCCCCCAGGGCCAAGGGAGAAGGCCAGAGGACCTTAAACCACTGCCCACACCTCATGCTATGAATTCTGCAAGGAAAGTGCTTCTGGGGCAGAGTCTTTACAGGCCACCATCCTCCCTGCCCAGTCCTCGTGATGAGACCAAGCCCTAGGTCCTGGGTCCCATCCCCTGCTCAGGGCCACCTGAGAGTCCGGAGTCAGGACCACAGGTGCCCACTCATGTCAGCCGGGGGCATTCTCTGTAGGGCTGGGAATCAGGCCAGCTGCCACCTGGTCCTGGTGCCACAGCTGCTCCGCCAGGGCATTGAGCACATGGGCAATGTCAGCCAGCCCAGCCCGCCCATCCAGTGTGCGCCCATCGGCCAGCCGCCGCCCAGGCACACTCTTCACCCGCAGGAGGGGCAGTTCCCAGGCCTGCCGGAAGGCTGTGAGGTCACGCTCGGGCACGTCCGTGTGCATGTACTGGTCAAACCTGGAGGAGGGCTAAGGAGCCTGGCCGGGCAACGCTGCTGACCATCCCATCGCACTCATCCTCTTCCTAATACCTGGAGCCCACGCCCGGGGTTTGAGGGAGACCCTGCTGCAGCCTTTCAGATAAAGCCTGTGGGGCTGGGCCCACAGCGGAGCAGAGGTCGGCTGCATGTCTTGCCACGTGTGGCCTCTGGCAGTCCCAGGGGCCGCCCAAAGGATACTTGGAGCCAACGACCATCCTGACGACACCAGGGGCCTCGCCGGCTATGCGGGTCAGCTGTCCAGGGAGGTCTTCGAAAGAGGCTCGGTCGGTGAAAGAGAAGAGGAAGAGGAAAGCGTCCGCCTTCTCCTGGCAGGCCTGGGGAGGGAGAGGCTCACTCGAGGCTGCAGGGCCCTGAGAGGTCTCAGCACAACCCTTCTTTTCACAGCTGGGAAACTGAGGCCCGAGTGGCGAGTGGCTGGTCCCAGGGGGGCTGGGATCCAGGTCCCAGCGCCAGTTCAGAGCTCTCCCAGCAGGGGCAGCACCCTCAGCCCATTCAAGCCCAATCCTGGCTCCTGCAAACCAAGTGGGCCGGGCTCAGAGGCCTGGGCTCAGAGGCCCACCTCAGGCAACCAACCCCCCCTCCCTCCCGCCCCGGGACCCACCCAGGCCCTCCGGCCTGCTCACCGGCAGCATGTGGTCAAACTTCCTGAGCGCAGACTCCCCGCAGTCCCAGAACTCGAAGCGGAACATGACGACACGCTCGCTGACCTGCAGCTTGGCCGGCCAGAACACCACGGTGGTCTGGATGCCTGGCGAGGCCGGGGCAGCCGCTTAGCGTGGGAGGGGCAGAGGTGGAGAGAGGTGGGGGGGGAGGGGGCCAGGAAGGAACTGGAAGAACACGTCCCTGTCTTCGAGGGTCCAAGTCTGATAGGGAAAGCATAGTCCCCGACCTGCGGAATTCCGTCTGAGGGAAACCAACCTGCCCTAGAGGAGCCTCCCGTCTACCAGGCAGATAGAGCTCAAGACCCGACCGTGACAACCGAGCTTCACTCATATGTACAAGGGGACCCAAAGGCCCAGGACACGGGAGGATGTTGGGATGTGATGGCCAATCAGCATCCAATGGAAGGAAACAAGAAAAGCTTCGTGTTTTCTGAGCACTTACCTTCTGCCAGCTCAACACTAGGCGGGTCCCCACCACCGTCTCTAGGACCACCCTCCCAACAGCCCCGTGAGATCGGTCCCATTATCCCTGTTGGACAGGGGAGCCAGTGTAGCTCAGAGAGGGGACGTGACTGTCCATGGCTGCGGAACAAACAGAGGGGCTGCTTCAAACCCCAGACCGTGTGGTCCAGGGGCGGTCTTTTCTCCCCCCCAGGGCAGGCCTCCAGGGACGGACTCACCAGTGGTCTCATGGTGTGCCACGGGCACCTCCAGGCCGGCGAGCTTGGCCACCAGCGCCGTCTTGCCCACACCACTCTTCCCGGACACGAAGATCTTGTAGCTGGCCGTGTCAATGGCCATGGTGGGGGGCAGCGCTGGTCGCTCGAGCAGCCCTGGGCAAGAAGGGGTCAGGTTGGGGTCAGGTTGACCCAGCCAGCGTCTTGCCCCATCAGACCCTTCCCCTCTAAGGGCTTTTTCAGTGCCAACCACCTGGGGTTCTCCATTCTCATTCCCGAGGCCTGGGACGCAGGCAGCGCACCTGGGTAAGCTCTCCCGAGAACACTCTGCTCTGTGAGGCTGGGCCAAGCCCACTCCAAACAAAAGCAAATCATTTTTTTTAAGTTTGACGCTGGAGATGGTTTGTATTGATATCATGATCACATGCCCTAGATTTCTCACATGGAAAAGCAAGGTGTTTCATAATTCTTTCCTCAGTAAGTAGAGAAATATCAGCAAAAGCATTCTCCGTTACTGTAAATAAACTCCTTGCAGTTAACATATCAAGATCTTTATAATGTTTTAAATTGACTTTAGAGAGCGGAAGGAAGAAAGAGAGAAATGTGGATGTGAGAGGCATCGATCAGTTGCCTCCTGTGCACACCTTGACTGGGGATCAAACCCACCACCTGGGAATGTGCCCTGACCGGGAATCGAACCCACCACTTTTTGGTGTGTGGGATGACGCTCCAATCCACGGAGCCACATCAGTCAGGGCTCTGAATGCTTTTAATTTAAAACTTGCAAAATAAAAAAAGTCTAAAATGATGCTACAGCTATAGGCATAGGCCCTCAGAGTCCTCTGTGTGGGGTGCCCTCTCATCCTCTGGTTTGAAGCTTTCTGGGGCTTCGTCTCTCCGGTCAGAGCTGGCCTCTCACAGCCAGTGCCAGGCACTTTGGCTGGCCTGCCAGCCCGGCCCCGCCTGGGGAGCTGGCATCACCCGGGGAACAGGAGTGTCTTATCCTGCAGACAGCGGGATGAAAGAAGCCTGTGTCTCCCCGCTAGTCTTAACAAGTCTGAGAGATGGGCTGTGGAGAAGGTGAAACCCGAGTCTGCTGTGTCAAGTGCCCAGCAGAGGGCCTGGCATGGGGTGAGGGCTCAATCAACAGCCTCTCTGGTGACAGTAGTTTCTGGCGGGTTTCGCCTGTTTCCATGATCCTGGCTCTGATGATGGAATTAGCTCTAAGGCGATTTCGGGGTGAGGGCCCCAGGGGTAGACCAGAGGCCCCAAAGCTGAGGAATGCAGTGCCAAAGGCCCTCACTGCCCTGCTTCTCTGCGCCCCCACCCCACGCCCACCCCCTCTTCCAGGGACAGGGGACACTGTTCTCCCTAAGGAATGGCAAGTGACAGGCTGTCTGTGTGTGGGGGGAGGGGGGAGGGAGAGGAACACGGAGAGGGGGAGGGGTTACTTACCAAACACCCGTCGGCGGTTCCTGCGCAGGATGCAGGTCAGGCACTCCTTGCCCTCGGCGCTCTCGTGCCAGTCGGGGACAATCACTGAGCCAGGGGCGGGTGGTTTGGCCATGGCTGGGCACCGGGACGGGGTGGGCGATGGCAGAACGCTGAGGGCAGGGGAGGGAGGGGGTAGCTGTCCCAAGCTGGACCTGTGAGCCCTCTGAACCTGCCGCCTGGCTCCCTCCTCAGGTGGTGAAGCGGCATGGGGCCCCATCGTCCTCATTACCCCATTAGCAGTTTTCCAGTCTCCGCTCCCTTTCACTGACCTGGGGGGTTACTCATCCCCTCTCCCTCTCATTACCCAGAAAGTGTAATTCCATAGTCCCTTCCACCCCGTATTTCTCCCTGAGGGCATTTACACAGCTCCCTTCTCCCTGGTCACCTCCCGGAGGGCTCACACAGCCCTGCTTCTCCTCTGCCTCCTCCATACCGATCCCCGCCCTCACCATCTGCAGTCCCCCGTGTCCCTTTAGGAGTCCTTCCCACGCTCCTGCTCCCGCTCCGCCGCCCGGCCTGCCTCCGCGGGGCCTGCAAGCCTCTGGGCTTGGAGAGCCACCGGCAAGTCCGCTGTCAGAGGCGCATGTGCGGAGTGTTGCCATGACGACGCGGGGGGCGGAGTTAGCTTGCCTGATTCAGGGCGGGGCTGGAGGGCGGGTCTCTCCTACGTCAGAGGCTACCGCCGCTCAGGGACTGGATCTTCGCTGCTGAGTGGGAGCCCCGTCTTTTCCTCTGAAAGTAATCAAATCCCCCTTCTGCGGGAGGACAGGTCCACTGCCTCTCCGTGCCGTTCCCTCTTCTACAGAGGGGAGGTGAAATACTATTACCTCCTAGGATTCCTTACAATACTGAGCACTGTCCACAGCAGTGCTTATTATTATTAATTATTATTATTATTGCCGCTGTATTAATTCTGCTCTGCAGGGCCTCGAGATGAGTTAACACCTCTGCCTTCACAGCGGGGGGGAAAAGCAGCTCAGGGAGCTGAAAGGACTTGCTCAAGGTCTTAAAAATGAGTCAGAAGCCACTGTCCACTGTGATTGTGCCTTCCAGTCAATTCTTTCTCTCTCTCTCTGTCTCTAATAGATTTTTATTTATTTCGGAGATGAAGGGAGAGGGAGAGAGAGATAGAAACATCAATGATGACAGAATCATTGATTGGCTGTCTCCTGCCACGCCCCACACTGGGGATCGAGCCCACAACAACCTGGAATGGACCTGGGACCTCCTGGTTCATAGGTCGACACTCAACCACTCAATCACACTTGCCGGTCTCTTCCAGTCATTTACTGATCGATTCAGCCCATTCATTCAACAATAATTACTGTGCACCTACTATGTGCTCAGCCTGGTCTAGCTGCTGGGAATACATCAGGGAACAAGAAGTCCCTGCCCTCCTGGAGCTGAGTTTCGGCACTGAGGCCATGAGCCCGTTTCCACTGTTCCAACGCTGGCCTGCTACCCGAAGGCGTATGCTCAGTTAAATGCCTGTTGGCTGGTTGGGATGCAGATGGGGTGTTACGGAGTTATGTACTTAAGTTTTAGTTAAGTCTATTGCACTTAATTTTCCCCAGGGTCCTCTTACAGTGCCTTCAGTAGGGCAAATATGTTATGTGAAGAGTAACCTATGCGTTAGCCTTTACTGAAGGCCAACAGAGGCTGCCTCATTTAGTTCTATAAAGAAACCTGTGTAGGAAATATTATCCTTCTTCTCTTTCACAGACGAGGAAGCTCAGAAATTATACGATTGTCTGAGACCACAGCACACAGGTGGTCAGTGGAAAACCAGACTCAGAACCCAGGGTTTGAGAGAAGTATGTGTCTGTTCTGCCAGAGTGGGCCTTATGTTTTTAAATATATATTATTGATTTGAGAGAGGAAGGAGGAAGGAGAGAGAAATAGAAACATCAATGGTGAGAGAGAATCATGGATCGACTGCCTCCTGTATACCTCCCTCTGGGGATTGAGCCTGCAACCCAGGCATGAACCCTGACCAGGAATCAAGTCTGGGACCCTTCAGTCCGCAGACCGATGCTGATGCTCTATCCACCGAGCCAAATCAGCTAGGGCAGGCCTTGTGTTTTTAAATCTTTGCCCCAGCCATTGGAGGGCGGCTCCTTGTAAAGCTGGAAGCAGCCAGAGGACTGCAAACCCACAAATCACAGAGGCCCATTATATCTAAGGGGGTGGAGGGGACAAGGATGTGTAAGGCGGGCACTTCCTTCAACTTGCTTCCACGGCAGCGAGGCAGAGATACCACCAATGCATATCCACTCCTACAGGATTCTGTGCGTGGAACTTGCCCACACTCCCAGGTCGCTCAGTGCCCCTCCTGCAGTCCTTACGGGATCTGCCCGGAGCCAGGCTATTCACAGCAATAGTCTCTCGTGTGCCAGGGCTCAGAGCTGACTTACCTCTGGGTTTCCAGACTCCACAGCCAGGCCTGTGCTGGCTGGCCTTGTGGAGGGCTCGGGAGAGTGGGAGGAAATGGAACAACTTGGCAGAATGAACTCGCCAGTTCACCCGAGGCCAGAGAAGATGGGAGGTCATCCCTGGCACAGAGAGGAAGGCTGGTGGTCAGAGGAGCTGGTAGCCAGAGGGTTAGTTTGTTTTTTAATATATTTTATTGATTTTTTTTACAGAGAGGAAGGGAGAGGAATAGAGAGCTAGAAACATCTATGAGAGAGAAACATCGACCAGCTGCCTCCTGTACACCTTCCACCGGGGATGTGCCCACAACCAAGGTACATGCCCTTGACCGGAATCAAACCTGGGACCCTTCAGTCCGCAGACCGATGCTCTATCCACTGAGCCAAACTGGTTTTGGCTAGGGTTACTTCTTGAAATCAGTCTGCACTGCCCTCAGGAGCTCATGGAGCACCAGGAGCCCATTCAAAGCATGGGTTCTTGGGCTCCAACCCCCAGATTCTGCTTCGGGGCATCCGATGAGTCTATGGGCCCTGCGCCTGTAAGGAGAGCACTGGGCAGTCGGGGAAGTTAATCTCTGCATCAGTCTGCATGAGCTGCCATAGCCGATTACCACAGACTGGGGGGGCTTAAACAACAGAAACCTCTTCTCACAGTTCTGGCAGCTGAAAGTCCAACTTCAAGGTGCCGCAGGGTTGGTTTCTGGGAAGGCCTTCCTGCCTGGCTTGTAGGAGGCTGCCCTCTCAGTGTGTCTGCACACACTCTTGCTTTTCTTCCTTTTTTTATAAGGACACTGGTGATAGTGGACTGGCCCCACAATTATGACCTCACTTAACTTTATTTCCTTGAAGACCCTATCTCCAAAAAAGTCTTATGAGGGGCCCTATTTGACTGATGGCTTTAACATATAGATTTGGTGTGTGTGGGGGGGTGTACACAAGTCAGTCCATAATAGAGTCCACAGACCTACTTTAGATAAACACCGATGCCGGGGACAGGAAGCCAGACAGCAATTGGCGCCTGGGAGTGAGGTGGTTAGAATTGCATTTCAGAAGGAAGCTTGTGAATCATCGTGGTCTAGTGAGTTTCCCTCTCCATTGATTTTTAGAGAGAGTAGAAGGGAGAGGGGAATGAGGGATAGAGAGAGAGAAACATTGACGTGAGACAGACATATCCATTTTCTCTCACATGCACTCAGACCCAGGCCCATAATTGACCTGCAACCCAGACTCATGCCCTTGACAGGGAACCTAAGACCTTTCAATGACGGGGGTAAGAGGACACTCTAACCACTGAGCAATGCCAGCCAGGGCCCCTGGCTTTTTTTCTGTTCCTCTAGGGCTGTTATGGGGAACATCCCTAAAAGGCCTGTGAAATCATATGGCCTGGCCCTGCCAAGGCATTAGGAGTGAGTTAATTAAATGTTTGATCAAAGATAGCAGGCTGATTCTTAGGTTGATAATTTTGTATGGCCCAAGAATGATGTTATAAATATCCAAATGGCCCTTGGCAGGAAAAAGGCCCCACCGCTGCTTTAGGCTTCTGCATTGCAGTTTCCAACACGTGGAGCTCTCTGCACCTCCCCCAGTAGCTCACATGGACGGCTGCTCCTCCCACTCGGGTCTCGGGGCGAATGGCCCTGCACAGAGAGGCCTTCCCTCCCCCACTGCTTAAGGATTTGCCCCGGTACCCCAGGCTCTCACTTTCCCATCATCCTGTTCTTGGTCCTGAAATTTAAGAATGTATCATCTGCTTCCTTCACGGAGGACATGTGCCTCATCTTTTTGTTATTATATCCCTGTCATAGTTTCCTAGAGCTGCAGTAACAGAGTACCCGAGGGTGGGCAGCCTCAACAACGGAAATAGATTTCGTTCTGGAGGTGAGAATTGGAGATCAAGGCATTGGCAGAGTTGATTCCTCCCGGGGGCTGTGAGAGACGCTCTGGCCCAGCCTCTTTCTCTGGCTTGTCTGTGGCCACCTTCTCCATGTCTTCACATGGCCTTCCCTCGGGATGGGTCCGTGTCCAAATTTCCTCTTTTAACTAAGGAGGGCAGTCACACTGGTGTAGAGCTCATTCTAATGGCCTCATTTTACCTTAATCATTTCAGTCATGATCCTATTCATGGATATAATCACATTCTGAGGTACTGGGGGTTAGCATTTCCACAAATGAACTTTTCAGGGGGCATAACTCAGCCCATAGTAATCCCTATTACCTAGAAATAGGTCTGAAATATAGTAAAAACTTAATACAAATGTATTGACAACTGGCTGTGGCTCCAGCTTGGCGAATGGCCTGAGGAGGGTGAGACTGGAAGGACCAGTAGGAAGCAGGGCGAACGTTCCAAGCATGAGTGGATTAGGGCATGTATTTGTCAGACATTCATGAGCACTGGAGCCCGGCCAGACACTGAGAGGAAGTAGTGAGATGCAGACCTTGCTCTTGGGCATGCCACACTTGGGAATAAAGTCAAAGAACTAGGCAACTCCACTCAGAAGCAGGGCCGATTAAAAACGCCCAGATTCCATTTTTAAATATAGAATTTGGAGATCCTGTATTTCATGCCCAGGGAGCTCTTTTGAGGCTGCACTGTGCCAGGCCCGGGCTCACAGTGTTTGTGTCCTGGACCTGGACAGCCTCGTGTCTGTCACTCCCCTGCCTCAAACCCTGAGAGCTTCCCACTGCACCTGGAGCCATGCCTGTGTCTGGGTACACCCTCAGGACAGTAATCCTCAGGGTGGTCCTAGGCTCCCCTGGTCTTCCTATGGGTGGGTGGCAACCAACACTAGGCTCCGGGCCAGGAGCGTCCTTCCTCCCCCCAGGTTCCTGTCTGCTAAAGCGTGGTCCTCAGCCCTCCTCTTCTCTGCAGGGGGTAAGCAGACAGCTCCCTGTGTGGGGCACGACATACTCTACCGGCCTCTTATACATTTACTTAAAGCAGCTTGGCTTTGTGCATGCTGACAGGGTCTGGATCCAGAGTCCAGCCCCGTGGGGAGAACACTGGCTTTCCCACAGGTGGGGGCTGGGGCAGAGAATGCCGGCTTGATAGAAGGGGTCCTACCCAGTAGAGGTCAGAGGAATATGGGCATTTTTCTCCTCTAGTACATTCAGTTTCCTTCTTAAGGTTGCTTCTAGTAGAGCACCTAAGACTCAAATTCTTTCACAGGGTGCCCCCAGGTGGTCCTTTTGGGGAATAACACCCATTTCATAGACTAACAATAATTGCTGGTTCCAGCTAACATGCTAACCTGTGAGGCTGGCAGCATCATGGTTATTTTAGTGATAAAACTGAGACTCAGAGGTGGTCAAAGTGACAGGGCCAGCTTTTGAACCAAAGTCTTTCCTGGTCAAACGTCCTGCCCTTGCCCCTGTCCTGCATCCTCTCTAGGAAGTCCTTTCTGAGTCTACAGACCGTCTCAAGGGTTGAAAGAGTGGTCCTTTGGTCCCATTTTTTTTTTCTTTTTTTAAATGTGTGTGTGTGTTTTTTTTAATTATTTTAGAGAAGGAGGAGGAGAGATAGAAACATCAATGATGATGGGAGAATCATTGGCTGCCTCCTACATGCCCACTGGGGATTGAGGCCGCAACCTGGGCATATTCCCTGACTGGAAATGGAACCATGACCTCCTGGATTATAGGTCGATGCT